AGACCAGGCCTCCCCACATCCAAGGTTTATGTGTCCCCAGACAGTGACCCAGTACCTGGATTCATATCTATAGATATTGGAACTTATAAGGTTTGGGCTATTTCAGGATTTCCCTAATAAACAATGTAATAAAGGCTCATGAGATTCAATCTTCTCTCTCTAATTGGAGTGGGATTTTGCATACCAGCTCCTTCAAAGAGGGGATGGGGGTTTGGAAGTGGGGAGAGATGAGCTGGAGGACAGAGCAGAAATGACAGACTCTCTAGAGGTAACTTAGGTCATCTTCATAGGGACCTCTGGCCAATGAAACAACCTTAGTCAAGCTCATGGACCAACACGAGGACACATTATTGCATCAAGGTGAATCGATCATGTAACTTGTAAAGTAAAAGAATGCAAGTTCCTGTGTATACCACATGGCTGTTCCTGATTAATGAGTCTGGGCACTACTACTTTACGGTACACTTCTGATCACTGACATACTTTGGTGTACCTGTGTCTTCCCCAATTTCTTGTTCTGGCCTATGAATGATGTATCACTTTGGGGAAATGAAGCAGGACCATACCTACAGATCCATACCTTCTACTTGGAAGATTACTAGATACGTCTCATCCCCTTGGCAGAGTGCTGTTATACTGTTTTCCTCAAGACTTCCTTGATGAGCCTCCATTTTATGTCATCTAGAGGCCTCCTTCCCACTTTATCCTGGGTTAGTTGCTAAAAACTCTCTTGTATGGCCTAATACTGCTGGAGTTGCCAACTCAAGCAGCACAGATCCAAATAGAGAGATGGTAGGAGGCATGAATCTCTGCAATACAGGAAGGAGACATACTCTGGCTGGACCAAGACTTCAGGCTCTCCACTCATCCAGCACCTAAGCTGGATGTTCTCTAGGAGAGCTGTTTCTTATTGTAGAACAAAATAAATTAGGAGTCACTATTCTCTCCCACCCTAAACATTCATCCTAGTATTAAAATGTAGGATTGCAAACATCGAATCTTTATGTTGTACACCCTGGAACTGACATAATGATGCACTTCAATTATACCTCAATTTTAAAAAAAGTAGAATTGTACACCAGGCAGCAGCCTTTTAAGACACAGAGTCTAATATCCATCACTGTATGGATAAATAAAAGGAAGTCTAGATACGGGAAGTAGATAGATCAGGATCAAACAGGTAGCTCATGGCAGGGTCCATATTCAAACCCAGTTCACAAACTGTTCAAGGTCATATATCTACTTGATGGCAATGCTGGGACTAAAACCCATCTCCAACTATAAGACTTTTTTCCCACTATGCCCTCCCTCATCCATAGCTAGAACACCCTTTCCCACCCATGATGGAAGGATACCCCATGATGGATTCGCAAATGCCTTTGAAGATACTCACCTTGAGAGCTGAGAGTCAACGTCAGCTTTGGGGGAAAGGGTAAATGGAGCTACCTGGGAATACTATTCATCAGGCCTGGTCTTTTATCTCACAGTCTTATCAGCTTTCCTTCCTGGTTCCATTTTTATGGCTTAAGTTTTTTAATCCTTTTCCTACCCAATCCCTCTTTCTGGCCATTTGTGACGACTATCTTGCTATTTCAAGTTTCTCTCCAGCTGGGTAAATCTTCACTCTTTGTCCTAGCACTGGGTTTTTTTCTTTGATTGCATCTCATCTGCCTGGAGGGCCAGCTTACCTTCCCACCTCTCTGTTCACATCTCATTCAATTCCCCCTACCTCTCCTCTTTTCACCACTTTCCTATTTTCCACTTCCTCTCTCCTTCCACTTCTCTTGGAACAGGGCTCCCAAATTTCTTGCGCCCACCAAAACTGATGACTTTTCTCCCTCTGCTTGAGGGGGGAAGAGCCGTGAAAGCCCCAAATGCCATCTTTCATCTTGTTTCCTATTTTCAGCACATATCCTATTTATAACTCAGCCTCCTTCTCAACAGATTGACACAGCACTCTGCTTGGATCCCAGAATAAGTGCAATTCAAGAATGAGAGGCAAGTCCAGGCTCCCAGGATTCTTCTGCAGTCAGGCATTTGTTAGGAGTTTTTCTGCCAGCATTGGAGAAGTGTCTCTGCTGGCAGCTGTGCTTCTCTGAGCCCATCTTCCGCTGTCCTGGAAACTCCTTCCACACAGGATTTTCTTCCTAGTAGATTTCCCTTCCTGATCATATCTGGACCAGGCTTATATTAATGGTGATTCTTATTCTCTTAGCATACATTGACTCTACCATAAAAAACACTTAAGAAATATTTTTTAGGTGAATGACTGTTGGTATATTAATAATAGGTCATAACTGAGGTTGTAGGAAGCCAATTTGGAATTATAGCTGATCCACAAAGTAACACTACATATAAAAATTCACATTTTTAAAATAAAAGCCAATTTCATATTACACCCAATATCTCTGGTGTCCCTATCACCAAATCATTATAAAACCTGAATGAAGGAGCAAGATTTACAGAGCACCTTCCATCATTAGGAATTGTGCTTTGCTTAAATGACTTCATTTATTCCACGACCTCTGAAACAGGTATTATTATCCCCATTTTTTGAGTAACAAAACTGAGATTCAGGTAGGTGAGCACCTTGCCCTTGGTAACATAAATAGTATGTGGATTCGACCCAAGTCCATCTGCTGTCAAAGCTCACTTTAAAAAACAAAAGAGTACCTGAGGCCTTTGAACACAGCATCTAAGATAGCACATGCTGATGACCTCTGGCTCAGCCTATGTCCCCTTGCCTATTTCTTTCTTGCTTGATACGTAGTAGGTGCTTAAGTAAATATATGTTGAATTAGTCATGCACCGCATAACGACATTTCGGTCAATGATAGACCTCATATACAACAGCGGTCCCATAAGATTAGTACCATATAGCCTAGGTGTGTAGTAGGCTATACCATCTGGTCAAAACCATCTAGTAGACTAAACCATCACGCTTGTGTAAATACACTCTATGATGTTTGCACAACAACAAATTCACCCAACAACTCATTTCTCGGAATGTATCCCCATCGCTAAGCAACGCATGACTGTAAATTACTGAATGTATCATTTAGTTTCTTAGCCTGGTATTATTCTAATATTCAAGGCTTGACATAGACACTTTAGAAGAAACCCAGCATTGGAAAGTTATCAGATGGAGATACACAAACCAATGTTCTCTGTCTTCATCAAGGAAAACAGATATGGGATGAAGCCTTAGCAGGCAGGATTTAGGTTAGAACTAAGGGAAACATTGTAAGACACTGGACCAGGCCACTGAGGAAGACAAACTATTTTGTCTGCAGATCTCCATCTCTCTCGGATGAGCCAGGCTCCTGCCTGCTGGGAAGGCTCTGCTTCTGAGGGTCTTCAGAGGCACCAGGAGCTGCTCTTCTGCGTTTGTGGTAACAGAAGAGGCTGCTGCAGAAACGGCCCGCGTTCCATGGCATCCTCTTCATAGCAATGTGGAGCTGTTAGTTTCCTTGATTGCTCTCTGATGCATAGCTTTAATTGTATCCTTGCTTTTATGCAGAGAATAGAATCATGTTCCCAAGAGGATGGCTGGGAAAACCCACTGCCAGCCTCGAATACAAATAGGAGCCTGCAGAAACTGCTGTTTCATGGGTGGGCACAGGGAAAAAAGATGAGGGAGGACAGGTATTTCCAAAGGTTTGGGATTTATGCCTGGAGGGATCCCCATCCCCCTTGCCCTCTTCTAGGAGTATAAACAGAAGCAACATTATTCATAGAAAATTGCCTGGAAATTTCCTATGTATGTGCAGGGGAGGGTTTATGTGGTGCTGAAAAGTTACTATCCCCCAAAAAGCTGTCCCTCATCCACACAGGAGCGTCTATGGACTAATACCACTGTGGACATAATTATCTGTTGCTTTCCTCAATTTTTTATGCATGTTTCTATACAATTGAGATCATACTGTATATAAATTTTGCAATCTGCCCCTTTAAGTTAACATTGAAGTTTATAAGTCTCAGGAGAGGGGGAGTAAAATCCAGCCATTTTACAGTTGAGGGTGACACCAGGTAGAAATGGCAGCAACAACCAGTACTCCTGGGTCGGCTCCCAGGAGCTTGAATAGTACTTTCCACCCATGAAATGATTCACCCATTTATAGAACTTCATGGGCAGAGGGCAGTGGTTGGCTCTAGAAGGTAGGATTAAAGGAGTTGGGGGTTTTTTCCCACTAATCTTCTCTGAATTTCTTTTAGTCTCCAAATTTTATAATAAGCCAGTATCACTTTTATAGTCAGAAAAAATTATTTTAAGCGTTTCTTCTTTCTGCTGCCAAGAAAGCAGTAAGGCATTAAAATCTGAGTCAGCTGCAGAAGAGCAAGCCACTCAGGCTCACCTGACCATGCCTTCGGCTCTCCATTTGTGAAATGGAACAATCACCCTGGCCCCGCCCAGAGTAGAGGCTGTATCATACAGAGAAGGTGTATGGGACGACAAAACAGACAAGCAGCCCACATCTGGGAGGTGGCCAAGCTTCAGGGTCCACAGCTGCCCAGACCTCCACAGCCGCCCTAAGCTTCTCAGAGGAAGAACATTCATTCGCCTTATTTACGATCATAACCCCCCAACTTAGGCATCATTGAGAACAGATTGGAACCCAGGTTTCTTCCGACCCTGAAAAAGCAAGTCAAGCTACTTTCGTCTCCCATTGCTCCCTTACAGGGATGACTTATTCATTAGGCACAGGAGACACAGTGCCTAGGGACCAAAATACTTTTAGGGGTTCACAAAAACGTTTTAATATGTAATTTTAATGTATTTGCCATATGCCAACACAGTTGTAAAATACGTTTTCATATTTTTAATGGAGGAAGGGGCCCACGAAGGCAAAAATGCCTAAGGTTCAGGGAAGTCATAATGTGGCCAGCTCAGCCTATATCAGCTTCATTTCTTCCAAGCCCTTCCGTGAGATCAAGGTGGACGGTGGATCAGAATGCCTATCACTCCTCTCTATTCATCTTCTTCATCCTTCTGGCACAAAGGAAACAGAACTTGGGTGTGGATTTTTGGCATGAAAATAACCAGAATCCTGCGGTCAAACTGAGACCCCACAGCAGAATTAAGCAGATGGAGACATATTTAGCAGACAGCAGAAAAAATAGCTTTGTAAATTGCCGGCACAAACAACCATTACAACACAGGAAGGATAAGAAGCAATCACTCTAGGAAATCACTTGGCATTTCCCCCTTTTCTTAAGAATGATTACCCCTCATTCCTTAGGATAAGGTTTCTGTAAAATGTGAACATCCCCTTTAATAACTCAGCTCCTTCTTTTCAAATTAGAGTTATAAATAAATAAGTACAATTTGCAAATCATTTGATTACATCCCTGTACTTTCCCAAGATTCCCTAAGGAGGCACTTTCACCAATTTTTGCGTCATTAAATATTTAAATAAAAACTGGAGGTGAACTGTGGGACCAAAAGGGCTTTATGAAGCCCACGTTGGGGCACGACGCAGCACCAGTTGTTAGACTTAGTAGCAAGCAGAACATTTGGTCCCTGCAGACCAGCAACAGAATAACTCAGCAAAGAGTTTTGAAGGGAGAGAATATTGGTTTCAAGGCAGGAGGCCAGTGAAGAAACCCCCAATTTTACTTGGAGTCCCTTATCCAGCAGCCGCAAATACACAGAACGCCATCAGGAACCAGGAAACCAGCAAAACAAAGCAGCTAGCAGCCAACCTCCAGTCACAAAGCCTGTGACAGTTTTAAAACATCGTGGAAAAGTTACTGCCTTCAAGTCACCCCAAACACCTGTGGTGCAAAAGAAAATAAGTAATTTACATTCAGAACGCTTTGTTTATGAAGTTGGGTGAGCTTTAAATACATTTTATCATAATTTTCATTGGTAAACATTTATTGAGCACAGCACTATGCCAAGAGGGTGTACATGATGGAGTAAATAGCCCCAACCCATAGGAGTTTGCACTGTGTTTGGGAAACACGGGAAATACTAGAAGTAAGTGGATCACAGCAGTATCACGCTGAATGACACTGGAGTGATCCCGACTATAAATTCTGCGTGGGAGCCAAGAGAAAAGAGAATCCTCAAGTGACTGATGTGTCGTTGAGGATCTAGCAGGAAGCAGAATGACACACTCAAAGGATTTAACTAAAGAGTCTAACTGAGGGAACACTGACTGAGGTGTCGGCGGAGTTAAGCCAACTAATCACAGTGGTCAACTCAGGGACTAGCAACAGTGGACGGTGTTACCACTCTCAGCCTGAAGGGGCAAGGCAAGGACTGATGTCACTGGAACCCCAACGGAGCTGGTGCCATGGAAGAGCGGATGTTTCACAGGAGCAGAGGCTGCAGAGGTGAGGCAGGAAGTCCGGGTTGGGGGATAGGGAGTAAATACCCAACCTCTGGTCATCTGCCGGAGCCTCCCACAGGCCAAATCCACCCAGAAACTGGAGGGTAAGGGAACTAGGAGATGCAGTCCTGAGGCACAGAACAGGAGAGAGGAGAGTGGAGAATGGACCTAAGGGGACAAATGGAGACCAGCCCAGCACACAGGCTGGACGCCTTGCTGTGGGTTTTAAGAGAAAGGGAAGATTTCTTGGCATAGACACGGAAGAGGGAGCATCTTGGGCAGAGGCAGACATGCATATATAGGAAGTGGGAATTAATTTCTTTTCAGCCAGGAGGTAATGTGTGCAAAGTGCGTTTTCTTAAGATGAGTCAGGCTATAACATTCAGGAAGCTAGAAGAAATAGACATGGAGCAGGGTTTCTTAATGTCAGCACTATTAACATTTTGGGCTGGATAATTCCGTGTTTGGGGATTGTCCTGTGCATTGTAGGATGTTTAGCAGCATCCCTGGCCTCAGTAGCACCCCACTCCCAGCTGTGAAAATCAAAAGTGTCTTCAGACATTGCCAAACTTCCCTGGTAGATGCAAAACTGCCCCCAGTTGAGAACCACTGGGAGAGGAAAAGAAGGAGATCATAAGCAGAAACCTGGTGAAACAGTGCAGACAGGAGATACTTAGACCAATGTGGAGCAGTGAGACCAACAAGAAAAGGATGAAGGACACAGATCTTGCAAATGAGGAGCTGGCTGGCTGTGTGAAGAGAGGCAGAGAGAGTGGTTGAGAGTGACTTTTAGGTCTACAGATTGGATAATAGGAAGAATGATGTCTCCACTGACAGAGCAAGGAATGTCTGAGGCTAGCCTTGGGGAAAAATGGTGCTTCTTTTGTGAAGTTGTTTGAAGGAAGTCCAGGACATTTAGACTAGGAACTGAGTTGAGCAGCGAGGTTGGGACTAGAGGTGTAAAATCGAGTCATCTACACAGAGAGAGAGACTTGCATCCTCCTATGGATAGAAGTTTTCATGAAGGGAAGCTGGAGAAAACCAGGGACTGAAGGAGTTTTTTTTTCTTTTGGGGGGGAGGTGGGGGAATGGTGTGCATATTTAGAAGAAGAAGAATGCGGGATGGAAATAGAAGGCTCCAGAGACAAGAAAAGCAGGCATATTTCTGAGAGGGAGAAAGGGCTGAAGTCCAGCTCCTGCCCCACTCTCCAGTCCATATGCCCCAGCGCCTATGTCTGCCATGAGAGGCCACCTTTTTCTAATGGATACAAAGGTGCCATGCAGGCTGGGGGCAGCCCTGAGGAGAATCAAAGCTGCCACAGAAGCCACGGTGTCAAGAAGGAAGGAGCCTTGTCCACTGGACCCCCCAGTGGTTAATGGTCCTCTCTTTGTTTAATCACTCAAATCCTTGAAGTCAACTTTGATTAGGCAGATATTTTCACTTATGTGGAATAAATGGTTTGTTCTTCATAAGTGAGTGGTTATAGGAGGTGTCACTGCCCTAGAGTTCAGAAGAAAAGGGTGTACACAGAGGTAGCAGGAGGAGGAGGGGATCCAGAACCACAAAGGGTAGCTGTGCTTGTCTGTCTCTGGGGTTCTCTCTGATGAAAGATGGTGGATCTTCCTGTTTTTTTCCCTCACAAAAATGTATTTTTGGGAAGGCAGAATTCTAAGATGGCCTCCAAGATTTCAGCTCACTAGTGTACGTGCCTTGTATAATTTCATCCCTTAGAGTGTGAGTGGGACCTGTGAATATGATGAGATATCACTTTCGTGATTAACATTAAATAGAAAAAGGGAATTTTCAGATGTGATTAAGGTACCTAATTGGTTGACTCTGAGTTTGTCAAAAGAGAGATTACCTTGGATGGGCCTGACCTGATCAGGTGAGCCTTTAAAACAGACAAGAGGCAACAGCAGACACCCTATTGCTGGCCGGAAGAAAGCAAACAGCCACGTTGTGAACTGCTGTAAGAGGGCCACACAGCTAGGACCTGAGGGTGGCTTCTAGGATCTGAGAGCGATCCCTGGCCAACAGCCAGCAAGAAAACAGGGACTCCGGTCCTACGACCACAAGAAACTGAATTCTGCTGACAACCAGCAAGCACAGAAAAAGACCCTGAGCCTCATACAAAATCCAGCCGACACCTGGATCTCAGCCTGTGAGACCATTAGCAGAGGGCCCAGCAGCCTTTTCCCAGATTCCTGTTCCAAAGACACTGAGATTATCAATTTGTCCTGTTTTAAGCTGCTAAATTTGTGATAACTTGTTATGTAGCAAGAGAAAACGAATGCTGGGGCCGGCCTGGTGGCACAGTGGTTAAATTCGCACGTTCTGTTTCTCGGCAACCTGGGGTTCACCAGTTCAGATCCCGGGTGCGGACATGGCACCACTTGGCAAATGCCATGCTGTGGCAGGCGTCCCACGTATAAAGTAGAGGAAGATGGGCATGGATGTTAGCTCAGGGCCAGTCTTCCTGAGAAAAGAGAGGAGGATTGGCAGTAGTTAGCTCAGGGCTAATCTTCCTCAAAAAAAAAAAAGAAAACTAATGCATGTATGAAGAGAGATTGTATCCAAAGGGAAGACTGGCTGCATGTGGCCATCCTCAGATCAACCAGAATTCTCCAGGTGTGCAGGGACCTGTAAGACTTTGACAAATGCCAACAGACTGGACCATTTACAAATGGATCTCAGCAGGCTCTGAACACCCCTCTACATACATAAACCAAAAACCCAGCTCCCCCACTTGCTCACTGATGCTGGAAATGGCTTTAAGGAGAGACCATGGCTTTCATCTCACAACTACAGAAAGCTTTGAAGGCCCTGGATAAACCAGCTCTTTGCTTTGGTTAGTGCACACTACTACTGTTGCACTGAAGGACTGGGTGATGCCATGGGCACCTTCCAAGTGGGTGTGAAGTGACAAGGGGTGTAGCAGAGAAAGATGGGCCTTTTCTTGCCTCCTTGAGAGCTTAAAAAAGAAAACTCTTGGAAATCAGAAGACCTGGAGTCAAATTTGGCCCTACTGCCAGCTGTCTGACCACAGGCAAATCACTCAAAATTTTGAGCCTGTCTCTTATTCCCAAAATCAAGGTAAATACCCACCTCCAGAGTTATTGTGAGACTTTTGATGTCATTCTACGCGTGGAAACTTTCCTTCTTTCCCTGTCGCCTCGGGCATCTCCAGCTCTGTTCCTATCCACAGTAGCTCCATTACCCTCTCTTAGCATTACAGAAGTTAAGAGTAAGGAATTGGAACCACGAAACGTGGGTTCAAATCCCAACTTTATCACTGGCTCACAGTGATCTTGGGGAAGGTACTGGACCACCTGGTGCTGCTTCCTCATCTGTAAAGATAAAGATAACAATAGCACCTGCTTCACGAGGCGTCTGTAAGGATTAAGCGAGTTAATATGTGTTATGCTCTTAAAACCATTCCTGGTACCAAAAAAAAAAAAAAAAGGCACTGCCAGAAGTGCTTGCTACTACTGTTCCCAAGGGCTTCTCCTCACCTGCCCACTGTCCACGAGCCCAAAGATCGTTTTAAGCTCACCTTCCCTCTCTAACCTACAAAAGTTCATTGTAAATTGCTACACATCCCCACCCCCAAGTATCTGAAGGCCCCAGCCCCATCCTTAAACCGCTTGGTCGTTCCGCCACAAGCAAACCCAGAAGCAATCGTGTCTCTCCCAGCCCCGCCCCGCCCGACTTCGGGAGCCCAGAGTCCACGGGAGGTTGCAGCCGAGTGTGGGGGCGGGGCGGGGGCGGCTCTGTGACGTCGCGCCCGGGCCCCGCCCCCGGGGTTGCCAGGCAGCGCAGCGGGCGTCGGGGTTGCAGGGCGAAGGCGACGCGCTAACAAAGCGGGTCCCGCCCCACCTCTCCTATCCGTCGAGGCCGAGGCCAGTGCCGCCCTTCCCCGCCCAGGTTCTGCTGCTTTCCCGCTGCCAAGGGTGCGAGGCTCTGGATCTCTCCCCACACCTTCCGCCTGAGGCAGGGCGCGAGGTGTCGCCTGGTGCCCGACAGCCCGTTTGGGAACGAGCCTCAGGTACCAACCCCGGAGGGGAGGTGGAGGGAGGAGAGCGCCCTGAGCGCCCCGACGGCTGCGCGGGTCTGAGGGAGGAGTCCTGCCCCATGGGCCCCCCTGGACTCTGAGTCCCTCCTTGTTCACAGAGAAGAGGAGGAGGCTGTGGAAGAGAATGTGACCTTGGGCCATTATCGCTCTCCGTGCCCAAACCATAGGCATATTTTGTACCTGGAACTACTGTTTTATGATTTCTTACACAGTGATTTGGAACCACAGCAGAATCTAGGATCAAAGCCCTACTGACTAGCCAAATCTTTGTCTGTAACATGGATGTAAGAATACCTATGGGAGGATTGTCCTGAGGACCAGTGGGCATGGCTAGCTCTTTATAAACTGCTATCATTCGTTCATTTTCCTTCTATCTATTGAGCACTGACTGTATTCCAGGCACCGGGCTAGGCACTGGGGATTCTCTAATGAGCAGAAACTGACAGTCCCTGTCCCCAAGTTTGTAGTCTATTGGAGGAGCCAGGTGTTTAGTAAAAAATCACACAAATAATATAAAATTAGAGCTGAGATAGCTGCCGAGGAGAGGTGGGTAAGTGGTGCTCTGAGACGGTATAATGGAACCAGCAGAGAGGCCGGGGGAAGCTGAGCTGAGAGCTGAAGAACCTGTGAAAAGGTGCGGAGTGCGTGCCAAGCAGGGGTAACCACGTGTCCAAAACCCACCGCTTCCTGCTCCAAATCCAAACAAGTACTACGGTTGCCTGGTCCTTGCTTCCAAGAGTGGTTTGTAGAAACTGCCTCTGAGATTCTGGTTTCTGGGGCCTTTCATTCATGTAAGTGGAGCCTTTCATTTACATAACTGAAGCCCCGTTTAGCTCAAACCAAAAAAAAAGAGAGAGAGAGAGAAATTCCAGAAAAAAAATCTATATTCCATATTTGATAAGACCTATATTTTTATACTCATACTCAGCACGTATGTGTTGGCCTGCCATTCCACTTTGAGAGGCATGTAGGTTTCACAAAAGAGGAAATCTGTTCAATTTTAAGAGTTAGGGGAGCCTGGAATGGATAACTGAAGAAGGCCTGCCATGCTGAGAGCTTTAAGAATGGAAAAGAACTTTACAAAATGTTGAAACCATGGAATGTTAAGATAGGCTGGCCCTTTCTCCCCTTCTTTTATCTGCTGGGAACAAATGGTCCATGTTGCTCAAAGGCAGAAACGTGGGCTTTGGTGCCTCTCCAGTCTAAGGAGTCTATGGTTGTAAGTCTCTGTGGCTCAAAAGCGCATGGAACTCCTGAGAGTAAATGGGAACACGGGAGGAGAATTTAACCTGCTCCTCCTTCAGTATTCTCCATTTCTACTATGGTACCACCATCTACCCAGTCATCCAAGCTTGAAAAGTGGGAAGTCACCCTGAACTCTTCTCTTTCCTCATCCTCCTCCCTCAGTGGTAACCAAGTCCTGTAGCTGCTGTCTCTCCTATCCTTCCTCATTGCAACTGCTTTTCAAGGCAGTTGATGCCCTCCAGAGTTGTTGCCCAAAGTGCCGCCATCTTCTCCTAACCAGGCTTCTTGCCTGAAGCATCATCCCACTCCCTTCAGCCCATCCACCCAGCTGTCAGTCAGTACGTCTTTCAGACGCCAACAAAAAGAAAGAAATGATATAACATATAACAAAGAATAAAGATGGGATTGGAATAATTGGAAGAGAGATCTAAAGGATACAGGAATCACAGATACGAGGAACAACCACTACCCTTGAGATAGATACCCAAAGAGGACACGACCTCCCAAGAGCTTGTCACAGAGGGTGTGACCACAGCTCATTGTATGGCAGAGAAACTGCTGGGGTGCCAGGCAGGCAGAAGTCCACTGTCTGGGATGCCAGAGAAGCCATTCATGAAAAGATGACTCATTGCCTGTACTCTGCTGCAATGCTTCCCGAGAGAAGCTGCCAGCCACTGGGCACTGCTGGCTGTCACGCACTGCAGCAGTTGCACACTTATGAGATCACATACTGCAGGTGCTGGAGAAGCTGTGCACGGCAGGATCCCAGCATTGGAGAAATTGGGTGCTCCTGGGTCTAGCCAAAAGAGCTATGGAACCCACAAGAGAAACCTCTTCCTCCTCCAGTATCCCTCCAGCGCCCTCTGCTGACAAAGCTTAACATTATACCAGCTGAAAACAGAGACGTATTTAAACGAACTAGTTTAGTTTTTGCTGCAGAGGCAATGCAGGGTGAATTTGGAGCAAAGAGGCAATAAATTGATAACTGGAGCATCAGGCTAACACCAAAATCTGATTGTGTAACTCTAGTGCCTAAAGCCTCTACCGGCTCCCTGTTGCATTTAATAGAAAGTTCAAACGCCTTATCATGGCATACGGCCTTTTACATTCGTATATAAATTGGTCTTGGGCTATATTTCCAACCTTAGGCCCAACCACTCCTCCTCTGTCCGCTATAGCCCTCCGTAATTCCTCACAGTTCCCTGAATTCACCCTGTTCTCTAATACCTTCACACCTTGGTCTAAGTAGTCCTAGCCACAAAAAAATTCTGTCCTTGTTCTCATTGGTAAAGAGGTGCTTATTGAGTACCTCCTTTGTACATGGCTCTTTTCTGGGGGCTGGAAATAAAGCAATGAACACATGAGATTTCCACAAATATTGTCACTCTTTGGAAGGTATTTTCTGACCTCCTTCTACCTCCAGATGAATTAGGTGCCTCATCTTGGAGTTTCTGTTCTCCTCTATCTAGTGCAGACTTCTTGACACTGATCATACCCTATTTTAATCACTGATTTCCTGTTGGTCTCTTCCACTAGCCTATGAGCTCTCTGAGGGCAGGGTGTGTGGCTCAGTTACTTCCATATCCCAGTATTCAGCGCTATTTCTGACATTTAAAGTTTTATTGAATTAATTATTCACCCAGGATCACATAAGTAGTCAAAGAGAGGCCCAGGACCAGAACCCTGGTCTCCTACCTCATAGTCAAGAGTGCTTCTTCACTCGTGCTTGATCTGCCCTATGGAAAAGACAAGTACAGTGCTGAACATCATCAGGAATGGCAATGGAAACAGGAGAGAAACATAGCCCTGATCTTATATTGAAAACTACAGCGTGTTCACCCCTCAGAGCCCTTGTATACTTTGAGTCCCTGGATCCTAGGAATGCTATAATGAAATCAGAAGTAGGGAAGACAAGTAAAAGGAGGAAAGTGATGTGGGGGCATTCTGACACTTCACTCAGAAAAAATGAAGACTTTCATACACTTATGAAAGACAAGGTTAAGGTGACCCCAAGTTTGTACATCAAATCCAAAAATCAGGGGACATGTTGTACAATGTTAGGGAGCACAGTTAACATGGCAGTCTGGTGTTCCTGGGTTTGTGGACTGTGATATGAACATGGAGGAAATCTTTGAAAAATGAGCATGGCTAAGATAAATCAAAAGAGGTAACTGTTCACTTGTTAAATAATAAACATGTGGAATTCATAACTTCCAAGAGGTGGTACTAGCATTATATATAAGCAATTGGGGAAACATTTGCTAATAATTGAGCCAAAAATCACTACTCAAAAAAAGGACAAGGTCACGTCAGACTGCTCTTAGCAATATTGCTATTGGCATCCAAATGCTGTGTTGGCTTGACCATGGATTTGGCCCAGGATAGAAAAAGATCCAGACTTCTGTGAAATAAAGTTGGAGAGGCAAGCTAATATGAATGAGGCAAATTGTGGAGAGCTTGAAAGTCAGACAGGGCATCATTTTGAGGAGAAAAGAAATGAAGATCCAATAAGGTTTTTGAGAGTGCTGTGATGATATGAGTGGTTAAGACATTTTATCTGGGAAAACTAAGCCTCAATTTCCTGGCGTTGGAAAAATAATTATAATATTAGAACCTACCTACCTATAGATTTTTGTAAGGATTAAATGAGATAATGAATGTGCAGTAACTATTTTAAACCTGTCTTATGCTGGGCACCGTTCCATTCTTTGCAACTATATGGAGTATGGTTAAAGAGACAGTGACTGGATTTTCGGGACAAAAAAGTAGGACTCTGACAAATAATTTTTGGTCCACTTCAAGGTGCTTAAAATGTACTTTTCATGATACAAATGGGAATGTCCAGGATAATTCAGTGATTTATGGGGACAGTTGGAAATCATATTTGAAACTGAGGTTTTCTTAGACAAAATTCATGATGTGTAGCTTATTGAGAGAGAGGCGGTATAGTATAGTGTGGAGAGAGCAATGAAGTAGACCTGAGTTCTTGATTCAGCTCCAACATAAACTGTTACCTTGTGCCAATCACTTCACCTCTTTGTACATCAATTCCCTCATTTGTAAATTGAAGATATTGAACTATATTGTAAGTCAAATTGAGCCCCTTCCTTTTTAAAAAAAATGTGTTCCTTTTTATTTTCCTGATGGATTTTTAAAAAGTCTGTCAAGACTGAAGTAGGGAATGAAAAAGAAGGATGAATAAAAAAGTGGCCGTGATATATCAATCTAAGGCAATTGAGAGAGTAAAAGATGTTGTTTGGGATGCTTTGATGGGAAAAGGGAACTATACAATAGGTAGTGGGTGGATATGACTGTCGCATGGTTGAGAGTTTACAATTGGAGACTTGGGAGTCATCAGCATAGAGCCCTGGTTAAAGCCACAACAAAAAAAGGGCCTTGGGGCTGGCCCAGTGGC